CAGCGGGGAGCTGTAAAGCCCGTGGGACCGTCTGTGCAGCGGCAGGGAACTCGCTGTGCCCATGGGGCTGTTCCCCCGAGAAGTCATCTGTAGTTCAGCTTTTGGGAGGGGGTTTGCTCGTGCGCTCCAATTGAATGAGGATTCAGCAATTTATAATGGTGGATTTAGAAGGAAAAGTAACAGGAAAGCTGTGAGTATGGGTGGGTGTTCTGTGTACCATAACTTTTGAACCCTGTTGGTGGCATTACTCCATCTTCTGGAGTCTGACCCTAGTCTTGTATGGCTGATGTTGACTACTTCGGTTACTAAAAGATTTAATTCCGTTGGTTTTATTTTAAGTGGGATTTTTACTTGGCCATTTTCTATTTTTTCATTTGCAGTCAGCTGAAGCTTCCCAAGGCTGCTTCCTCTCTTGTTTTTTCCTTTCTTGACACGTGTTCTGTTGTGTGGACAGGGTCGCAAGCTTCTCATCATTGGAACCACCAGCCGCAAAGACGTCCTGCAGGGAATGGAAATGCTGAATGCTTTCAGCACGACGATTCATGTGCCCAACATTGCCACAGGGGAGCAGCTGATGGAGGCTTTGGAGGTGAGACAAAGTTCAACAAGCTCCAAATTTGCTGGAAATAAGTGATTTTGCAGTAGCTCTTCTTTGGGGAACACAGTCCCACTTAACATTATGTCATAATGTAGCAGTTCTAAGGCTTCTTCTGAAGAAGTTCTAAGGCTTCTTCTTACTTTTTCATACAATAAATGAGAGAGAAAATGAGAGAAACAGGAAAATAAGACAACAGGGAAAAAGTTTCTGGAGTGGATTGAAAGGTCTGAGGGCATGGAAGTGAGTAATGAATATAATCGGGGCACTTGAACTGAACGTGTCTGGTGGGTGCCAAGCTCTTGTTAACTGGAACAATATCAAATGAGTGTGTGTGGTGCTGAAGACATTCTAGGTTCTTTATAAATTTGTGCCCTTAATGACTTCTTATTCTGTGCTGTAGTGGAAATGTCAGTGAATATTGAAGGCAATTAAAATAAATTTAAGCAAATCTTTTGTGCAAAGTTGTCACGATGATAATGTCACCAAAGCCTGAAAGACACAGGCACTCTTGCAGCAGTTCTGAAAACCTGAGCCGCAGTTCCTTCTAGACTCTAATCTGGAGGAAACCTAGAATGGATCATAAAAGAGGATCAGTAACTGTTTGATGAGAGATGTTACGAAAAGAACCGTTGTGGAATAAAAGAATCTAAGTGTTTTGCCTTGTCTCGATAGATTGCAACAAATTTTCCTTCTAAGCTGGAAAATGCTTTCTAGCTTCTCATTCCCTTTTTCCAGACTTAGATAGTGTTGTTCCTACTGACAATCTCTTGTTGTTGATTTTTTTTAATAGTTTTTTTTTTCCCCTAGCTCCTGGGTAACTTCAAAGACAAGGAACGCAGCACTATTGCACAGAATGTCAAAGGGAAGCCTGTCTGGATCGGTATCAAGAAGCTGCTGATGCTGATAGAAATGTCATTACAAGTAAGAATGTTTCTGGTCCAGGAAGGACTCGGGTATCTCAAGGAGTCTTCGAGGTTCTCACTTCTCTGCAGACTCCTGCTTTAGCTGTGTGGTGGGAGCCTTTGAGTCGGTTTAGTGAGAAAAAAGCTGCAGTGAGAAGTTTTGTGAACAAAGAAGTCACCAGGTCTTGGTCTGCGGAGAGATCTTTAAAACCCGCAGTGCCCATAGGCTGTTTAGAGCTGCACTTCAGAGAAGAGCATCTGGCAACTGGAGGGATTGGATTAACTTACCTTTCATGAAATTTCTTCTCTACACCCAGCATGTTAAGATTGCAGATAGCAATCACTTAGGGGTTTTATTTTTTTTAAAAGAAGAAGGTGCCTGTGCAGGTGTATGTAGATAAATCTGTCAGGCTGTTCAGCTGCTCTTCTCTTTATTTTCCACTTTCAGCACTTTAAAGAAAATAATTGCAGAGGGTAGAAATATGTAGCTCTTAACCTCCCCCGCACCCACCGTGTGTGCCTGAAGCCAGCCGTCAGGCCGCGCGGCAGCGTCTGCGTGCTGGAACGAGAGGCTGCAGCGTGCCGCCCCAATCCCCCGCCGCCGCCGCTCCAGCGCCCGCCGGAGCCCTCCCCCTCCTCGCACACGCTCTGCTCACATCAAATGGGGTTAGTGCAGCTGAGTGAACCGTCCTTAGATCTTCCTAGGAGAGGCTGAGCATCAGCTAAGAGGCATGTAGTTTCGCAGCATATAAGTCATGTATCCCTCTGTTCGCCGCTCACGAGTCTGTTAAAACTTGCACAGCGCTAAGGATGTGCTCTGACTGGATGTCACCTCAGGGAATAAAGTCATTTATCTAGATTACTTTTTCCTCTTCTTCCTTGGCTTTTAATTCCATACCTACAGGCAAGGCGGTAAGTCATTGCTCACACGTATTAAATGTGTTGAAGGGGTGCAGAGCCTGCAGGGACTGCCGGGCGCTCTCGCAGTCCGTTTCACTCAGCCTTGACAATGGATTCCTTCTTCTGACACAGGACGTTTTCTTTTGCTGCCTTGACCTTGAGCATTGGTTCTTTTCTAAACTGAAGGTGAAGGTCGTGTAAATTATGGGCTGTTCGGAATGGGGAGCATGGCTGGAAATGCTTACCCCGGACTTGTTCACGGCATCGCCCCATGGCTGCGCGCCGGTGGTGCTGTGCACAGGGAGTCTTCACGCTGCCCTGGGCTGTGCAGACAGGGAAACTGGTCTGGCACATTCATTTTTTTTTAACCAGACCACCATTTTGTAGGTGAGGCCGTGACCAATCAGGCTGGGAGAAGACAGGCAGAACTGTGAATCTGTGCTGTTCCTGGCAAATTAGAAGAAGGGTAGAATGAAGGGCTGCTGCTGTCCGTGCAGATGACTGATGATCCACCTTTGCTACTGTACATGGATGGTTGGTAGCGAGGTGACTTATGTTGTTTGACTCAATCCATGCAACTGTGTGATATCATAGGTTATATCATATGGAAGCTAAATATGAAGAAGTTCTGTTCCAAAAGGTCTGAGGTGTTTACATGACTCCATCTGCTGAATTGCTATAAATACAGGAAAGTAATAGAGGCTCTCACTAAATATGAGTGTTCTCCTATCTGAATGCATCGAAAGACCACAATGATGCCTAATTTGGCTAGCTTTTACTGGAAAGCAGAATTTTATCAAATGGCAAGTCCAAGACTGGTTCCTTTTTTCACTGGGCTGGACCACAGCTTTTTAGAAAGAGATTTGAATCTGAAACCTCTTAAAAATTCCAAGTGGTGGGTGAAATTTCTCAAAATTCAGCTGATTAGATCCCACGGTGAATTAATTCTTTGCAAAACATGGGCACCTTGTTTCTTTCTCTGCTGTCACTGCATCCAACTGTGGTTTTTGTTTTACCAGACTGGTAAACCCAATATGTGCTACATGTGTGTATTCTTCAGCTGTCCAAATGACTTTCAGTTTGCTTCAGACTGAAGTCTTGCTGAACCAATCTCTCAGTATCAAAATCCTTTCTTGGAGTACAGTGAACCACTGCCTTGCTCTGGCACCTGGAGCTGCTTTGTTACCTCGTTTATGAGCCTTGGAAACCCACGCTTTTTGGCAGCCTGATTTCCCTCAGACTGTGTTTATTGCTATTCCTGGCCTTCTTTAATGTCAAACTGCTTATATTTAGTGTCACATAATTTGGTCATCTTGTATACACTGAGTGTCCTGGAATGATGTTGTGTTCTTGTTCAGAAGAAGTCTCTGATGAGTGGATACACTCATGATCTGCCACGTGAATACAGAGAAGTTTAGTTTTGCAGTATCCTTGGCTGCAGTACCTGGACCACCTCGCAGTGCTATCGTGTGCCACTCTGGCTTCACCCTGCCCTCACGCTGCAACCCTACCCTGGGGTGCTGCTGGATACGTGAACCTTCTTTTTCCATAGCTGGGGGACTGGTTCCTTCTGCTTATTTTGTCTGCCCGTCTTGTTGCTCTTGGACCTTGCTGGCAACACTCCGAAAACCAAGGTGTCTCTCCTGCTTGGAGTAGGAACCTGACTGAGCCAGGCAGCTTTCCAGAAAGTCCCTTTTTGTACCTCCAGTACTTCCTGATTTGCTGACTTCTGCTTAGCATAAATAAACCTTCAGTTAACCTGAGCTGCTTGTCTGTAAACGCATTTTAACATACATGGGAACTGAGAGTTTGGATGTTAGGACAGGTTTACAGGAGTACTGTACTACCCAAGGGCGTGCTGGAGTATCTCCTCTTCCCTGGGCTGTTGATGACTGAAGTCTCTTTAAGGACTCCCAGGCATGTCCTGGGGATGCTGTGTTACCTGGAAGGGAACAGCCATTTTCTTGCCACCTGTCTGAGCTGCATCGTAGAGTCAGTCTCCGCGCTGTTCCTTTTCTAGAAAATCTTTCATCCAGTTTGACAGCAGCATTTCTCCTTTCACAGAGCACTAGAGGGTCTGTTCAAGAGTCCTGAACCTGCTTCCTCTTTGCAATCTGACACCATCTTCTGCTCCTTCCGGGGCAGATCAACCTTCTGGTTTTGTGTTTGCATTTTTTAATCAGCTATTTCATCAACTTTGCCTCATTGTTGCCTTTCAGCTTCCTGCTTTAGTCTTTTGGACAAGATATTGTGTCTGCAGATAAATGCTGTTCCTCCCAAAGAGTCTGTAGAAACAGGTTATGGACAAAGTGTCTTGCTGTGGCCACTTTCTTATGTCCGAGTGAAAAGGGGTGGGGAGGTGGCATCTTCGATTTGGGCAACAGAACGCTGGCGTTGGCGAGTTTGAATTTCAGCCTGTGGCATTAGTACAGATTTTCTAGGAGTGAAGAGAAGAGGTTAGTTTGTGTATATCCATCTGAGATCACATTGGGTTTTTTAACAGCACTATCTGATTGATCCTTTGTTGTTATTTCCTGATTGTGATAACTCTTCCATGGTTTCCTAAGGTTTCGCCGAGGTCCTGGCAACAGGATCCATCTTCTCTGAAGGTAGATAATACTTTTGATCCCCGTGTGAGTCAGTGAGATAAGGAATCTTGGAATAAGCCAGGCCCTTTGACTGTTCAGTGTGTCATTCTCTTTCTGGCAGCTTTGGGCCTTCTGTCCATGGCCACAAGTCATGCCTTGCTCTGTTTCCGTGTTCGTGGTTCCTTGGCTCAATCTGAGGTGTGGAAGATTCCCTCTTTACTGAGTAAGCTGCCTGGCTTTGTGCCCTCTGCATAGAGTGTCTTGACTCTTCACCCACCGTTTCATGCAGTAGACGTTGGTACTGGCGTGTCTGGCAGCACCAACATTTGCTGTGCTTGTATGGACTTTGCCTTCAGCAGTGATTCTGCATGGAGTGCGAGTACGAAGAGTAGGGAATTGCTGTTCCTCTAACCGTCACGCTGCCTTTCACTGGTTTGCCTGATAATTAAGATCCTAGAATCACAGGATCATTCTTGTTGGAAAGGACCTCAGGATGTCATCTAGTCTGATTCAGACCTTCAGAAAGCGTCTGTGTAGATGATAGCAGGCATCTCACCACCCTCTTCGACACCAACAGTTGATGGGAACTAGGCCTTTTCAGCTCCAACAGGAACAGGTGAAGTTTGGGTTTTGGACTCTCGCCAGCAAAGTCCACTTCTTAGCAATTGATTTGCCCAACTCTTCTAGCTTTCTCATGGATAATCTGTGAGTTTGGACCACATATGAGAAGTCAAATCGGAGGGCTTGGTGAGCTGCCACTTGAGTAACTCCTCTGAAGAAGTCCTTGCAGAAGTAGACATCTTCACTGCCAGTATCTACAAAAATGTTCTGTGCCTTATCTGAGACGGCCAGGGATCCTTCTTCGATGCACTTTTCTACTCATGATCAAAGATCAAATGTATTTTGTCCTTTTCCTCAAATCCTTTTATTTCATGGGCTGTCTGAAGCCTGTTGAGAGAGTGTGCACTAGTAGTTATTTTTGCGTAAGCTTGGTCTTTGCAGCTCTGGTTCTGGGCTTGATTTGTCCAGGTAACTTGAGGTTGAATTTTCACCCACGTTTGAACCTCCTGTCCAGACCTTGCAGTGAGCGCTTCATCTAACTCACCATGCTGGTGGTATCTGGTTCTCTTAGAGTAGACTATTTTTTTGGGGGTGAATATCACTGAGAGCAGCAAGGCACTAAACAGATACACTCTGCGAATTGCACCCAGAGCATTTTTTTCATCTTTGTCTGGTCCAACCCCCTGCTCTGACCCAGCATGATCAACTAGAACAGGTTGCTCAGGGCCATGTCCAGTTGGGCCTTGAATACCTCCAAGGACAGAGACTGCATAACCTCAAGGGGCAGTCCCTGGTAGTGTGTGATCACCCTCGCAATGAAAAGCTTTCTCTTCTGTTTACGTGGAACGTCCTGTGTTTCAGTCTGTGCCTGTGGCTTCCTCCCATCAGTGAGCACCGCTCAGAAAAGTGTCTCTTTTCTTCTTTACTCCCTCCCATCAGGTATTTATACACATTGGTGAGAGTCACCCTTCCCTCCCCAGTCCTGAGTCGTCTTGTGTGACAGATGCTCAAGAACCTTAATCATCCTCATGACTCTTTGCAGGACTTCCTCTGGTATGTCCTTGTCTCTTTTGTACTGGGGAGCCCTGAACTGGATGCTCTCCTCCAGGTGCGGTGTCACTAGTGCTGAGGGGAAGAATCATCTCCCTCGATCTGGTAACAACATTCCTCCTAATGAAGCCCAAGATGCTGTTGGCCATCTTTGCTGTAAGGGCCCATTGCTGTTTCACGTTCAACTTGTCCTCCAGGACCTTGAGGTCCTTTTCTGCAAAGTCACTTTCCAGCCAGTTGTCCCCCAGGCTGTACTGGTGCATGGGGTTGTTCCTGCCTAGGTGGAGGACTTTCCATCTCCCTTTGTTGAACTGCGTGAGGTTTGTGTTGGTCTGTATCTCCATCCAATTCAGGTGTCTCTGAATGACAGCACTGTCATCAAGTGCATGGAACACACCTCCTAGTTCTATGTCATCTGCAGACGTGCTGAGGGTGCGCTCTGTCCCCATATCCTGTTTCTTAATAAAGAGTTTAAACACGATGGGCTCCCATGTGGATGCGTGACATGTTCCACCAGTGACTGGCCTCTGCGGATCCCAACCCTTTGAGCCCACCAGCTTAACCAGTTTTCAGTCCATTGCACTGTCCCAGTTATTTAGTCTGTACTTATCATAAATGACACTTCGTGTGACCACCTGGAGTTGTGGTCATGCCTTTAGCAAGTACTAGCTGTTCTGGAAACATCTGGAAATATAGGAAGAGAGGTGGTTGAGTTGTCATAGGACTGTAGGATAAATGAAGTCAGAAGGGACCTCAAGATGTCATCTAGTCCAACCTCCTGCTTAAGCAGGATCAGCCATGTGGTCAGACCAGAGTTCTTTGGATGGGAAAGATCTGAGACCCTTTGCCAGGTGAGTCGCAGGCTTATCCTTATAGTGTGGATTCCCCCAGAGAAAAGGGACTTCCAAGTAATCAGTGTTCAGGGTGTGTGGCCCATGTGCACGTACTCCTGTCCCAATTATCTTCAGCCTTTCTGAGAGAATCATGGACTCTTCTGGGTTGGAAAAGACAACTTTAAGATCATTGAGTCCAACTGTAAACCTAACACGGCCAAGTCCACCACTAAACTATGACCCTAAGTGCCACATCCACAGGTAGAATTGGGAGAACTAAAACAGTGACAGATGTTCTTTCCCCTTGTAGCCAAGTGTTGACTGGGACAGATTGTGGAGAAGGTTTAGGATAGCGGGATACTGCAGACACCACCTTTCTGGTCTCCAGTTATGTGGCACAACTGTCCCTCTCTTAGTGCATGTGTATTACACATTCCAGACACCACTTTAGGTGGTAGGGTAGCCTTTCTTTTCGTCTCGGCTCCTGAACATTACCACTATTCCTTTGCACGTTAAAAACCCAACTTAATAGCTCAGCGATCCTCAGTAAATTCCTTTAAATCATCTTATTTCAGTGAATTTGTTTTTCTGCTCTAAAAATAGTTCAGTAGTCGGTATTGAGGTGTTGGCCTCGCTGACGTATTTCAAAGTCATAGGAAGTTACAAACTTTTAGCCCTTTTCTTAGCACGTAGCAGAAATTGTCATTGGCTGTTTCTTCTCTGCCTCCATCACTGGTAATGCTGCTGGTTGTTGGGTGTTGTGTTGTATCTTCTTCCAAGCTGTTTTTAAAGACGTTTGTGTTGCCCTGAAGCACAGTGGTCGTGGTTTTAAATAGATGGCTTCTTCACCTCTGGCATTGGTGGAAATGTTCCTTTAGGAATGTAAAATGTGGTAGAGGAGTTCAACAGCCCTTGTTCTGGCTCTTTGGTGGGAGGTCTCCAAGGCTTCCCCCCTCCAAGGGTAAGTCCCAGTTTTATGTTTTAGGAGAGCACTTCTCTGTTTATTACCAAGTGGGTGACAGAGCTGGGAATCTTAAAACCAGTCAACTTCATAGTACCATCTACTGAATATGTTCAGAATGAACCTGCTGTATTTTCTGCAGTGTGCTAAAGATGCAAGACGTCGATGAAGATCACAGCATGAACTGAAGCTGGAGTTCCTAGGCCAAATGAACTGTTGCAGTACAACACAAAGACCCTGAGAACCAACGGTCGCCAATGTCCGAGCGTTCATAGCCCTAACTCATCGTATGTTGGTGCAGGCAAAGTCTTTGACTTTGGAGTGCAACAAGGCCATGCATCAGCACGAAGGACTGATGCTGTTATGGAGCAGTTGTGTCTTCTGATGGCAGCCTGAGTCTCTGTCTCTTTAGTGGCCTTTCCTCCCACTTTCCTGTTGTCTCTGTCTCAGTGTTGGGAGAGAGGCAGGACTGATGTTTAGGGCAATGTTCCGGGTTGATGGAGCCACAATATGAGTTGGGACTACAAGTTCTGGAAGCCTTTTGCTGTGATTCAGCTTTCCCTTACGTGCCACCCCACCAGGCGCAGTTCCTCTCCACTGGTGCTTTGCTGCTGGAGCTGCAAGGGGGCAGGAGGACAGATGAAAAGTGGGGACATCTTCAGTCCCTTCTGCTCCTGACTGTTTTATTTGCTGCTCCAGCTCTGGAAAGGGGGAGATAGAAGCAGAGTGGACTTGGCTCGTGCAGAGCCAGGCTGGAATTGGCAGTGTGGGATGAAGCTGGTGTGCAGATTGCCATCAGAATGAACCACCTGATAGAAAGGCTTGTGTATGTTTCCAGTCTGGCCCATCTCCTAGGGGTGTGAGCACGCTGAGCTTGTGCTTAGTGCTTTCTCTTGGTGCAGTGCTGTGTCTGCACTACTCAGCTGCAGAACTTCTGGACAAGCAGGCTGATCCCTGGCCAGGCCAGTGCCTGGGCAAAGCAAACACACACGCATCTCCAGCTATCTTTGTGACCTCATTTTCCTACTGTGCTACTTGGAAGATTGCATCACGTTAATGGAAATCTGTTTTGTTTGGTGTTTAGATGGATCCTGAGTATCGGGTGAAAAAATTCTTGGCTCTTCTGAGGGAAGAAGGAACGTAAGTACTTTTATTTTAAAGCATTGTTTAAAATTCTCTCTCCACTCAGAAACAAACATCTCTTTGAGGGGAAGCTGCAGTGTAGTAGATCTGATCTTGTTGTTGGCCCCTCCTGTATTTACAGAGCTGTGTATCAGAGCAGTTCTCCTTACAGCCATAGGCCAGTTGGTTTTGGAGGGGGAAGTCCTGAAGGCTTTTTGAGAACCTGCATTCCTGAATTCCCTGCTTTTCTTAATTTACCTGTGGCTTGACAATTTAAATGAGGTATCAGGCCACAGTTTAGCTTTCTTTAGTTAAAGTAAATCAGAAGAGATTCTGCTAGAGTTAAAATCTAGCTGTTTATCTAAAATCTGGAACTTTGATTTATTGTATTTCTTCTGTCTGAGAGAAGGATGTCCTACTCTTTC